CAGTACCTTAATTTTCATAGTTTCTGTCCATTACAGTATAGGAGAGGCTTGGTGAAATGTCTATTTAAGAAGATTCCACGTTTGTTTGCACAGCTAATGTTATAGAGAAAGAAAACGAAATACTGATGGATACTCTTGTTGAAAACGGATATCCTTTAAAATTTGTAAACAGGTGTAGAAGTCAATTAGTCTCTAAACCTACAATCTATACCGCGGCCTAGGGAAAAAATGACTTCATCAAATTACCATAAAACGGGGAAATAAACAGTAGGATTTTGAGACAAAGGTCAAATTCGGTCATCCGTAGAACCTATTATGCAGCCCGGCATGTAATTATCGAAAAAGCCAAAAATATGTTCCACTGCAAACCTCAAAAGTGCACAAGTGATTATGTCACAGCCGACACTATTTACCAATTTTCGTGTGTGTGTGTGGCCACACATACATAGGGAGGAGTAATCGTGCTTTGCACATGAGGGTGGGAGAGCATATCCCGAAATGGTTAGAAAAACAAATGAATTGTGGAAAATAAATAGACGCAGGTGTCAGACTACCAACTTTAGCTATAGCTAAACACCTAATCGAGATGAACCATAAGACTGATGTTAACTAAGCCTTTAAGGTCATCTATAAAAATGGTCAAGGGCGCTTGTTGAAATACGCCGAGACTATAGCTATTCATAAACTTAAGCCCCGCCCCCCCCCCCACATGTGCATTCAAAAGCAGTTTATTATTACTCTTAACCTACCTTGGTAATTCTTATTTGATTGGATTACCAAACGTGTTAATCATTCAAAAATCCTTTTTTTTCTCACTTTGTTTAATTTAATTGCCCTTAATTTTTTCATATATATCGACTTGACAAGTTAATATGTGACCTGATCGTTCGAAATGTATAGCACAAATACATCACATTTTTCAGATAATCACTGTCTCCTAATGACACTATCCAGAAAAGTTTACATAGTTACAACTGTTAATTAATTCAACATAAAGAGAGATTTATGTATAGAAATGGCTCTGTACAGCATTTGAGGATAAGAATCGCCGAGGAAATATCTTTGCTGAGCTTCTTGTTCTTAACTCTCGAGTCTTTTTTCTTTGTCTGATTAATGCCAAACAAGTTCAGTGGAAATGAAGCAACACCTAACCCACCCTCACCGATACATCCAAGATTTACGGGGACGGGGGTGGGGGTGGAGTAAGCAAAAACTATTTAAAAAGCAAGTCAAGAGGTTGAATGAATTACAATAAGGTATGATATGATTGCTAACCATAAATTGTGTTTGAGACGTCACCCAGTTAATGATACTGTAGCCCTCCTGAGCGCGGAAACCCTATCATTACAGCCCCTCAGCTTGAATTACAATAAAAAAAGTGGGAAATTGATTGGTGAAGATATTAGACATAGAAGACAATTCCGTTTTCGAACACCCACATGGATCAAGTGAAACTAAATGAAGTAGGTCGTTCCAATTACAATTTTAATGATTCCTCTACTAATCCTGATTTAGTAGATAATTCAGAAATAAATCTAGATGATTCCAGTGAAAATAATAGCACAGTATCAGCTAGAAGATAGGAGAAACTTGCAAGCAAACCGAGACCTCATTATAAATATGCAAGGAAGAAACATTCGACATATGGCGGATGTGGTGACTGACAACTTCGATTACTGTATTGTTTAAATGCGTACGGTTGTTTTTTTTAGTATTTGTCATATAAATTACAAATAATTCTGCCAAATACAAATTCCTAAATTCTGCCCTCTCTGTGGTGTTGTGTTGGTTTCCTGTGATTCGGTTACTGAGAAATACTATTACAAATAACTATTACACAAGCTTAACTAAAAACACGTGGTACTCACTTACTTACCTACTTAGAAAACTCATGATGACAAGTAATAACGGAAAAGTCTATTAATCACTGAAATGTTCATCCATTTTTGCTGTTTGGATTTTTGTGTATATTTTTTGGTATAATGAAAGTGATGATTAACTGTACTGTCCCTATTTTGTGCGTGTATGTGTGCGCAAATGCCTGTAGACGTTAAAGTGTGTTTTTGTAAGACAATTAACCAGAATTTATTTTGAAAAAAAAATAATAAGAAACAAACGCAATAAACTACGAATACTCCAGATGTTGATTTTCTCCTATTTTATGTTATTTTTCCTAGTTGAATAACTAATGGCGATTTGTCATGGAATCAATATTTAAAATACAAGGTAGATACAGTAGTCTAAGCATTTGGCGTCCAGACTTAGTTGAACATATGATGTGCCTGGCATACTTCAATAACAAAAGGTGTAAGTATCTGACAGGACTATTTTAAATCCAACACATGTGTTACGTAACACCTGTCGCAGCGTGTTAACATTTTCTAGTGTGTGTGTGTGTGTGCGTTTGCTATTAGATTTTTAGAAAAAGAAAAGTGCATCCTGTAAATAAGCTAAACACACGTAAAATTATGCATTCCTGTGAGGCTTGACTGCTGAACGTATAAGACTTGAAGAGGCGAGCTATCTTTGACCACAAATGTTTCCATTTTATCTCCTGTGTTAAGTAGTATAATACTAACGTTGAGCATAGAGCATTATGGAAGGAGAGACATGAAATTAAATTGGAAAAGACTTAAGAATGATCACATCCAAACCTGGCATCAATTCATAAAGTCTTTGACAGTTGGAATAGACTAGCTGGCTGGCTAGGGAGTCCTACAGATGCTTGGAATCAATGGACGGAGGCTGTTAGTCACAAGGCTCACAGTTGTTATCAATGATGTAAATGCATTCTCTGCTTATAATCTCTTAAACGTATTAAATTCCCATTATTATTCTTTATGTGCCGATTCTTTCTCTAGTAAATTTCCCTTCATTATAGCTTCTTTGCAGTTTTATCTCTACATTTGAGTGTAGCAACTTGGACATATGAACTTTTGCGCATAGTTCCGTAATGAAAAATCAATCTATCAGTCATTGACAGAGACTATGGGTAGAAACACGAATCAGCCGAAGCTTCCTCCTATTTAAAACTTTCCATGGAGAATAAGACTGTGTGTCGTGTCAGCAGTACTGGTTTCTCTACAAAGGCTTAAAGCCACCACTTTTTGATTCAAGCGGTGAAACTTTATCCATTCTATTAACCAGTTGATTAAACAGTGAGGCATTGCAGCACTTTGCACAAACGTGCACTAGTCCATGTGGACACACTTCGATATCACGTCTGAAGCATGGGTAATAGAAATCAAATAAGACTTTTGTAAATCCACTGAATTTTCATCAACAATAAAATAATTAACACTAATAATCATTCCAGTGTCTTAATCACTGCAAACTAGTCCACTGGACTAAAAAGCCACCGGCGAGTTTTTTAGTTAACTGTGATAATATCTGACTCCACAATTTTTTTTAACATTCAGGAAGTTATGTGAGATTATTCCCAGTGTGTTGGAACACACGACTAAATTAATCAGTCTTTAGAAGAATTATTCACGAAAGTTGCCATCTACTACTACCTACTGGTGTTTATTGTGTAACCAAAGCCGCAGGTTGGTATTTTTGAGAGTAGCTGGCACATCAAGCAGAGATTGATTAGTTCAGTGCTTGTTGCTGAGAAACTATACCACGTGTTGACGGACGTCATTGAGTCCTAACCCAGTGGGTGAAAGGTCAACGTGCTGACCTCGTCAAAGATAAAGTAAGAGAGGGTGCAGGTGAACTCAGGACCGATTAGTTGAAATTCAAGTCGTTGATAAGTGAAGATGTAACTCATCATTGGCTGAATTACTCAACTTTCAGTCAGTGGGTTGTAGGTTCGAAGCGCACTTTAACTGTTTCAGTCCTGGGATCTAGGCAGTATTATCACCACTCCATATATATATATATATATATATATGTATATATATAGAATGGCCTATAACCTGATATGTGCGTCGGTGGCACAGCGGTTAGCATGCTCGCCCACCATGCACATGGTCCGGGGTTCGATCCCCGGCCGACTCACACCTTTACTTCACTTAGCCAGTAATAAGACTGGTAAAGAGGGAAGGTTGGGCATGAGGCTAGCAACCCCATCCTGTAAAAATAAACACTGATACAGAAACTTCAAGCCACTAGCTTGAAGCCCTATGTTCCATTGGGGAACGTGAAGGAAATAAAAAAAAATAGCCTGAAATAGGAAACATCTTTTCCGGGTGAGTGTTGGAATGCTTGAGTCAGTCAGTCACAGCTCTATGAACAGATTGAAAATACGGAAAAACACTGATCATAGAGGATATCAAGCAAATCGAAGAAACCAGAAGAATATTCACAAGAATTTACGCTCGTGCAACTAAATATAGAAATTCGACCATACCACTATATTTAGTACGGGTTTTGTGTGAAGAGATGTTCAGACGTCAGAAAAGAACTAATAAACTTTTTAAATTAGTAATCTGAATCGAAAAGTATAAGCAAAGATTATTATTATTATTATTACATGTATTGTCTATGATATAATCTATTCATACTTCATTATGTTTCCACCAACATTCTGTTTATAGTGGTTTCATTATTAATACTACTATTACTACTATTTTAAATTTTATGTATGTGCATATTTATAAAAGGAGCTAAATTGTTGCAGTATGTATAAAAACACCAAAAATTCCATTCTGTTCAATTGTTATTGTTTGGAGTAAAGTGATTATTATTGTTATTATGCTATGAAAAAGTTGATTTTTTGAAAGAAATTATGCTGACACTTTAACCGGGACTGTACATTTCAAAAACAATTGATTTTGTGAAACATTAACTACATCTACAAGCAGAAATGGAATTAACGAAAACTACTCAATTATTCACCTTATTGTTTCTATTAATGAACTTTTTCTGCTGATGGATACAACTTGGAAATCAATAATCCAAGTGCACTTTACGATACAGGTCCATTAATAACAATGAAAATAATAATAATAACGTGAAATACAAACGCAAATACAAAAAATGATCAATAAACTCACGAGTACTAGCATGATAAGCTTCAACAGATTTGACGAAAATCATTGCATTCATCTCAGCATAATCGACAAACAACAATTGTAGTTTAATGGCTGTCTTCGTTACCAGACGGAACTGAAAGCAGTTTATTGATTTATTTGTTGTGAAATGTCCGGAGGATACATCGATTTCGTCCATGGTAGGTATGAAGGAAAAAAAAGAAAGAAAGCATGGGTGTTTATCTTGTCAGTATTTCGCCGGATGAGACTGGTTAAAGGCATTGATGCACATATATTGTCTACTGATGGCTAGGATCGAAGACTTCGATTTGTTCCCTTTTTGGGACTCATCAGGTGGACGCACTCAGGTTTCAATGAATGCAGAGTCCCTCTAAATAAAACTCGAATTAGATACTTATTGACTTACACATCAAAATTGTTTAATCATCACAACGATTTACTGTAGGCCACGACGTTTTCATAGATAGTGTTTACTTTTTGTAGAACCATAGCTACCTGGGTATTTAAAATCATACACCTATGAATGAAGTCACTTATTCTGTAGGTAGTATGCATATGTGTACCTTGCGTTTTTTTAGTGAATAACAGCACTATCGTAAACGAGCTAATACGACAAAACAGTTTACACACGGGTACTTTTGGCAATATGCAACCAGCCTCAAGCATTGGGTCATTGGGCTTTTGCAGTCATGCACCACTAATAATTTTTCTGTTTACAGGTAACTGAAGAAGTGATCAACTTCCATGATGTAGACAGTTAGGCAGTAATACTTATCCTCACACTTCCTTCAATAAGCACGCAAAGCTTTCCTATTTCATTATCAAACCGTGTTTAACCATTAGCTGCCTATCCTCCACGAAGCACATATGATACTAGTTTAAACTTACATCTTAACAGTTTGGAAGTAAATCCTTTTTAATAAATACCATCTCTTAGGTATCATTGTAGCTTCTTGATTTTCGTCACACGACACGACACTACACTACTTGTTTTCTTCATATCATCAATATTATATGCTAATAGTAAGAGGAGTTGACAATAGTTGGAAGCCGTAAGCACTTTAGTGTGGATGACACGCTTCCTATAAGAATAGAACCTCAGCATCACGGCAGAGTATAATTCAATCATGGAATAATTTTATGTGATAAAAGCATACAACGATAGAGTATTATTTATCTACTGATGACATTCTGAGCACAGTTTATTGCTCATAATCATATTGTGGTATTCATGTAACCATTCACCTTGTGTTTTATCAAATAAAAATTTATTCCATAAAAGGGCGAGTCAATGGACTACCCTTATAGACTACAAGTACTCTGGATACAACTGTACAAAGTGCGATGAAGTCTCACCATTTCAATGTATCATCTGTAACTCTTATGTGCTGTGTTGTTTAGTCACTTAATTCTAAACCTGTTAATAATGTGGATACTGTATGAGCAACTCTAGAATGTGAAGTAACGTCAGAAACTAGAGAAAGGAGATGAGTTTTAGCCTTGAAAAAAATAAGTGGTATTCCTCAACCCATTCTATCATAGGAAGAGACACTTAGCCTAAATGACAAAATGCCGAGGGTAGTGTCCGCACATGTGATCATTTTCGTTGGTATTCTTGATATCCAACTCTTTCAAGTTGGAAAAGCTTGGCAGTGGTAAGTGCTCAGCTGTGTTACTGACCATTCATATTAGCCATAAGGTGTCAACAAATCGAAAGTGCGACGGAGTGGGTTTAAGCCCATCTTCAAATGCCTGTCCTAAACATCTGAACAATCCTAGCCGCCTTCTTTCCAATCTCTGCTTGCTAACATTTAGCCTCATGATGATAGGAGCATTTTAGGAAGTAATAGTCAATTCATGGATTGACATCAGTCAAAGTTGGGCAATTGTATTTCTAATGCTCTCCACCTTCACAGAATGAAATTTTTGCATATATACAGCTGAGACAAAATAGTTACAAAGCTTTAGTTTGTCAACTGGTGACAGTGATGCTTTTACTATTGGCTATCTAATTTTGTCGTATTCCACCTATTCTGTGCTAAGCTCAGTGTCGAAATAACAAGGAACACATATTAGTAAATTTTAAAAATTAAGCGTTCAAGTGAAAGCATAAATTAACACTAACCACATACACATACATATGCAAATACACATACAAATACTTACTTTTGATGTTAACAGGGAGTATAACCACCGTAAAATATTTGGATGTTCAATAACTCCAGCCATCCCATCAACATAAAGCATTATCTGTCCCAAAGCTTTGCAAAGAAAATTATGTAAGAAAAAGATAGAAAGTGGGAATCGAGTTCATAGAAAATGAAACTGTCAATGTAAAAACAGTGTATCCGTGCTGGTGACACAAAATTACACTCTAGTGAAAGCTGTAGACCTCAGTTACAAGGCGTACTTGCAACCTCAAAGAAAGTGATCACCTTCAGACACTATAACCCTAGTCAATAAAGTCTAGAAACAGGCAATTTGTTACCCCCTAGTGGCCGATCAATATATCCATTATACCCAAATACCCCAATGGTAATTCTTTCGACTACGGCACTGGAAGATGCGAGTTGGAATCTTCCGGGAGGGGACATCACTCTCTTCGGGAGCGTAGATACTCCTTGCTGACGAGGACCAATAAGGGTGAAACCGAAGCTCAGGAGGGCCCACTACTGATATATATTTATGCTTTTCAGTAGTTTGTTTTTAAGTGTTTTCAACTCCAAGGGAGAATTCAACAAAAGTCGGAACTGTTGGAGAATCACTGATAACCAGAAGGTTGTTTCGTCCTTGTTCGGGCTTCCTCATCAGCAGACGGAACAGCTGTCAACTGCTTCATGGCTTTCAGTGGGTATTTTAACCGATGTCTGTGGGTGCATGTGCGACTAAACCCAATATAAAATGGGTGCTTTAATCAGATTTGTAATAAAACCGAATGAATCATTCTCAGCAACTTACCACGCAGGATGTAATTCTGGATATTCTGATCTGACCTAGAGCCAACATTGACTAAACAATCCAGGCCGGAATGAGTCACAAATTCATGTACAAGATCTTTATCATCCTGAAATATTGACAATAAGAAGAAAATAGAAAGCGATAGCATAAATAACTGATTATGACGGTCAACTTCGTTAAAAATCCCATACATATACAACAGAAAATTCTTCCTTCCGTCCTACTTTTTGACTTGTCAGCAAGTGATACTGGCGACCATATACTGAGTACAACCAGAAGACGAACAGATCTTTCAATCTGAAACGAAAAACCACCGTCCACTACCCAATGCAAATCTGTCTTATGTAGGTAAATGATATTATCCACACGGAAAATCAACAATCCTGATGATTGGAAATGGATGACTACTTAAAATGAGCTGGCCGTAGACCTTTTCCACATAAAAGTTAACAAGAATAAATCATAAGCGTCTATCATATTGCTTGGCAATGTAATCTTCATCTGGACCCTAAGGGTCAGGATAGATTCTGACACGAACAAGTTCGCCAAAATATCTAGCTATCTAACTGATTCAGCTCTCTGAGCTCAGTTGAACCGAGTACACCGCTGATGAGATCAGCCGCAAATTAGTGAAATGGCTGTCTGGTATTCAGATCACTTCGATCTGGTTAGCAAGTATTACTAGTTCACATGAGCGATTACCAACTACTCATGCTGTGTTATTTCACCGGCTTTCTTGATCACCGTTTATAATGCCAAGCCCATCATATATTATAATCTGAGTATTTCTGTTTTCTAAAGGGAACTGTGGCTAATTCTTCTCTCCACCTGTATGATGTGCAGATTGAGAATTTGACTGTAAGGCTGGAGGATCACTGAGGACAGAGAAAGAGAGTCCTCTTATTCCACTTTAGAATAGTCTAACGCTGTCACTTGTCGAGTCCAGAACCTGCACACTTCGAGTGAAACATCTATGATTTCTAACTGCTTATAATTTCACCAAATACCAAAAACTGTTATTTGAATAAATCATCTAGGAGAAAGTCTGTACTGATGTAATATTCAACCAAACTTAGTCATAATACATTGCTGAAACAGTTCGATTTTGATCAATTAGGTAAAAGATCATACATAAATCCTAAATGTAGTCTTTAAATGGTTATAAAATGTTGAAAGGATGCTGAACAATCCTGGTTTATTCCTTCCTGAGAGCTAGAATTTCTCCCGCCTTATATTTCTCTTACCGAAATGAGTTATATTTCCTCCAGTTTCAATAACAGTCTAAGGGAGTATGCTAGTCTAATTGCTACTTCTAGCATGAAGCTACGTTTGGGTGGATATATTTGGACATCTGTTCTTTTCTGTCTACGGTAGAGGACAGCTAAAGCATATAAACACAAAGCTGAATTTTGCCTAATCTCTTCTGCTAACTGTGATATGCAAGCACACTCAACTCATGAGTGGTATTCATCTTTTTTAAATTTCATTTATTCCTTTACTTTCCGATTTCAAATCACTTCTAAATGTTTACTTGTCTAGTAATGCGCAATCTTTTTTCCTGCATTTTGATGGTCCACTAGTGATTTTGATGTTTAAGTCAACTGCCAGAACGTTTGAATACCCCTATAACCGAACTTATGATAGGTAACTACTTTCTTTACGGATTATTTTTAATTGACCACAGGGTAACATTTCACTCACTACGATCCTCATGCCAAACTTCTGCTCAGTAGAATGAAAAATGTGCGTGTTCTTATTTCATCGATTTTATGTGTACATTTTAAGCTGTCTTCAACTGAAGACAACTGAAATACAACCTACGTAATAAGATAGGCTTTTGTCAGGTATCGAACTCAAAAATGCCCCTTTAGGTAAAAATCCCACTAAAAGGATGCTAAGTGGATTATATTATAACTACTTTTGTTCACTGAACTGTTCAGTTGAGCAGTATTCACCTTTTAATGATTAAAAACCACAAACAGAAGACTGTGTGGTTTTCAGCTGATCGGTTCTAAAAATCAGTTAAGCGGAACACCTCATCAAACTATTGTGCGCTGAAAAAATTTAAGTCTGAGGTTTAACAACGTCCTCGAGAAGGATTGTTTGGGTGACAGTAGCGCTTCACCGTAAGGGCCGTAGAAGTTTAAGACCAGGGACAATGGCATTCTATCCCACAAGGTGAATGGCAGTGTGATCACTTAGTGACTGAATGATCTTAGGTTAGATTTCTCCAGGGGGCTATGAGTTGATCAAGACGAAACAGTTTTGAATTGTTCTTTTGTTTCGAATGCTTCATGATGAAACCCAGCTTAAAATCATTTGGAAAACACACTGGACTAACGGTTGGTCACGTTAACAACTGTTGAATGGTAACGGTTCATAATCGAATACATCAATAAGTCACTGGCAATTACAGCTGCTCAACGTTACACTTTACAGATTCCCAAAGGTAACGGGTGGTAAGTGTCAGTTATCTAATCAATAGTCTCAAAATATTGTGTTTAAAAAATTTAAACATATTTAAATGATAAGTTTTATTTTATTGACCCAAAACTATTCACAACATGAATAACAGAAGATAAAACAAAGAATTTTCATTTATTCACATATTTCATTGATAGATGTATTTATTATTGAATATGGAGTCTGTGACTAAGCCTAAGCTATCTATCTACTAGCAAATGAATGAAGTTGTGCAGGTCGATATACACAAATTCATGTGTAGGCTTATAGAAAGATGGATACATAGACAGACACATACACTAATTAATTGATAATTAATTAATTAAAGTTTCGGATCGATGAAATACAATATATAACACGTGATCAAAGATAATTTTCAAATTTGCTTCTATTCAGTATTAAATACTTAACTTACCTGGAATATTTGTTTCAATGAGAAAAGTGAACGTTTCAACTCTCGACCATTAGAATCTAATAATTTTTCTGAAATAAGAAAAAATCGATATGTAGAGATGAGAGGAGAGGTAAATGTAATAAATAATTTTTTTTTTTGAAATAGTGTCTGGAGATTATTTTCAACCAAAGAATTAATTTCCTGAGTATGTGTAAACAGCTTTTGAATAGTGTTTTCTGATTAATCACAATCTACCCTGTGTTGAACATTATATGAAGTGTCTTCTTTCTTGTGTATAAGCAAGAAAGTATGCGATGATCAGTTTGTTTCTTGTGCAGCTTTTTTGTTTGATCTAATCACTCTTATGATCGTTTAAGGTGATCCATCCGGCTCAGAGAACACAGTCACACAAAAATTTGGAATCGATTCACTACAGTTTAACTATTTACAAATTAATTGCTGTAATTTTTCTGTTTTAAATTTCGCCTCAGATCTACTATATATAAAAGCAAGCAAGCAGCTGATTTAAATCTTATGAAGTGTAACTGTGCAAGCTATTAATATTTTATTTCTCTTTAGTATTCTGTCTTCTCTATTCTCACTAGTTTACATGATGAATATCAGTTGATGATGAATTCAGTTAGACATTGTGATGTTTATATTTTCGCTGCTCTGGATTTCAGATTTCCTAACATACAACGCTTTCCTCCCGACTACAGTTTCAACATTGTATGTTTGTTGTCTTCATTCACTCTTTTGTAACCATTAAGAAATTTGTAGTACAAAATGATATCATTCTACTTCACGGGTTCTCATCAGCTGCAGCCTACCTGAAATTACAATGGTTATATAGATGATAATAACATACTTTAATGTTTGAGTGGTAGTAGAGAAGAAATACTATAAAATTTTGACGCATCCAAAATGAAAGTATTACAATTTTTAGTTTAAGATTTCATTATCAATTTATATACTTTTAAAGTTGAAGAGAGGGGTGAGGGGTAAGACAGAAAACAGAAAAATTTAATTAACAGAACGGTGTTAGCTTGTAGGTTCACATAGCAACTCAAAAAGCAAAAGCGGTTACAGTTTATGAGATTAAGGTTTGTTCAGTGAGTTGAGATCACTGAATTAGATGACTAATTAATATAATCAAAATTCAGTGACTAAGGGAATGAGAGGTTAATCACACTCTTTTTCTGTATGGATAAGTCTGGTTTAAATCGTTTTTTCACCAAACAAGGTCGAAGAAGAATTAGATTTCGTCGAGAAATGCCCAAGAGAAAATAGATACCCTAAGGAATTTATACAGAAGTATAGCAGAGAAAAAGATAAGGAAGAAAATCACCCAACTGTAGAAAAGAAGAAAGTGTTTATTTGTCTCCAATTCAAAGGGGATGCAATGTCACAAGAGATTGACAAAAGACTGAAAGGTGCAATAAAAAGAAGCTTCTAGGCAGCAAAACTCATAATATTATACAGCACCACCTCTTCTATAAGCCACTCAAAACTGGATAAATACCCTGCTGATGTCACCTCCAACTGCGTTTATGAATTCACGTGCACTTTTGGGAGCAAGTACATTGGAAGGACAGAAAGAAGGGCTTGTAACCGGTTTTCTGAACAAATTCCAAGAAACCTATGCCTGAAAGGAAGCAAACATTCTCAGAGTCCAATTACCAGACATAATGTTGATGCCGGACATCTCGTAGAGATTTCTAAGTCCTTCAAAATATTAAATAGACAAAGGACAGTAAATTTACTATGATTTGCCGAAGCGATCGCAATAAAACCATTCAAACCAGACTTATCCATATAGAAAGAGAGTGTGATTAACCTCTCACTCCCTTAGTCACTGAATTTTGATTATATTAATTAGTCATCTAATTCAGTGATCTCAACTCACTGAACAAACCTTAATCTCATAAACTGTAACCGCTTTTGCTTTTTGAGTTGCTATGTGAACCTACAAGCTAACACCGTTCTGTTAATTAAATTTTTCTGTTTTCTGTCTTACCCCTCACCCCTCTCTTCAACTTTAAAAGTATATAAATTGATAATGAAATCTTAAACTAAAAATTGTAATACTTTCATTTTGGATGCGTCAAAATTTTATAGTATTTCTTCTCTACTACCACTCAAACATTAAAGTATGTTATTATCATCTATATAACCATTGTAATTTCAGGTAGTCTGCAGCTGATGAGAACCCGTGAAGTAGAATGATATCATTTTGTACTGCAAATTTCGTCTTCCTTTCTTTATCGAAACTTATCAAGGGAACCAAATGTATGAAACTTTCGGGTTAGTCTGCAGTTGATGAAAATTTGTGACATCCAAATGATAACGATTTATACTGCCGATGGATGCAAAACTCTTTTTGTATAACATCACAGTATTACCTTGGCGATTTTTGATTTTTTTAAATCGAAATATAAGCCATCCTATTACATACGTAATGTATAATGAGATAAGAATGTAGGACTAAAACATCAGGTCCCTGAGATTTCTAGATCACTGATACACTGCTATTATCAGCTGAGTCACCTTCTTTTCGAAAATGTTCACTTTACCCTGGTTTGTTATACTTCCACCATTATTCACTTATGATACAGTTGTCAAATACCTAATGTCATATTCATTACACCTCTGAACTGTAATCACATCTCCTTATCCTGATCATATCGACTTATTTTATTTTCCCTATCGATTTTCGGCATGATTTGTGTTCTTTGAAAAAAATTCAGTTTTGTCCCAATATAATGATTATTTGGTTTACATGACCTTTGTCACTTTTTATTAGCAAATATCCTTATGCGTAGGTATGAAAAGACCTATGCTGTGTCGGTTTTATCACTGAAGTGTATCAAATCATCTGCGTTTGACAGTGACATCTAAAACCAGCAAACAGTACACAAACTTTGGTCTTCGCGTGCATTTTGTAGAAGATTTGGGTAATACTACATTCGAACCCTGTTCATTTGACTACGTTTGTTGACTTTATTAAGACGTCATATTCTCATGGGAAAAAGCCCCAAATCTACAGAAGGCTTTCTGTTGGGAGTCTAAAAACACTGAATTATCAGGCGATTCCATCATTATCTGATACTGAGTACTTTTCAGAAGCAAAAACGTTTTTCTGCTAGACGATTGAAGTGGAATATCAATTTACTATTGTCCTATTTCATATACTTATTGACTCATGAATATAGAACTTTGCACATAAATGCATGAGTTCAAGTTGTCCCAATTATCATGTTATCACCTTGGGAAGCATATAATGAGTGTCATACAGAGATACTGTTTGAACAGTGTTCATACCAATAGATTGCTCATTATTCTGTAGATAAAAGCCAACTTCATCACATGATCTAGGGACTCGATATCAGATGAACATTGAACAAGATGAATTTTTCTTCAAATCATTACAGCTTAAATAGTACCAATATGTGTATAATAAAAAAGACTTAAATGCTCTCTGGTAAAATCATTTTTGGAGGTAGATAATCTGTTATAGCACATTCCTATCCCTAGTTAAATGTTGACTCTATGTGAATTTTCAATTCTGTTATCTTTTCAAAAATATGCATCCAGTTATCCTATATATAGTCAATCCTCCAAAATATATGAAAATTTCGTTAACTTTGAGAAAATTTCATCACTTCTTACCTGTGCTACCTGTAATTTGCTTTTAATTATTACCTGCCAGTACTATAAGCGCATAAGCGTAGATTTTGTCACCAGTCTCTTAGAGAACCAGTGGAAACCAGGGACAGCTGTTTTGACATCCGTGACTTTTGCTGAGCAATTTAGCCACTGGCTAGTGGATAAAACGATCCGTAAATTCTAACTTACGTCACTTAACAATGTAACAACACCACCAGTCAACTCCCTAGTCCGTGGGTCTAAATTTTATATTTAGATGTGGTGGGCATCGATAGGCACATCTTGAGATCAGACGACTAATATCCCAACTAAGGTTGAAAGTGTGAGTCGGTGGCATAGCGGTTAGGACGCTCGCCGACCATGCACATGGTCCAGGGTTCGATCCCTGGCCAACGCACTCCTTTACCTCGCTAAGACAGAAATAACGCTGGTAAAGAGGAAAGGTTGGGAATGGGGCTAGCAACCCCATACTGTAAAATGAACACTGCTACAGAAACTTCAAGCCACCAGGTTGAAGCCCTATGTTCCACTGGGAACGTGAAGGAAAAAAAATAGTATCATATAGTTTCGTTTTGTATTTAGAGCCGTTTGAAAAGATTGTATTCTTACTTATTTGCAATGTATATACATATATGCTGGTGAAGATTAGTTTACTTTCTATACTAGTTCATTCTTTGGATATCTGACACAATGAAACAGTATATGTTAGATAGTTAGAACTCAGTTCCCTGATCTGCTTCAGTTGCAGGCTGTGAGCCAAACTCATTACGTGAAGGCCAGTAATATCACTGCATAGTCGCTCAGGCTGAAGTAGATGGAGAGACAGAGACAAGAGAAGAGATTACAGCCCACAACCCGTTGGCCAAAGGTCTAATGCTTAAGGAGATAAGCTATATCTTGGAATAGCACCCAACTGCTAGGTGTACGGACTAAGTAAACAAGTTATTCAGTGTGTAATAAATACCACAGTAAGCTCTTTATAAGAAAACTAAAAACAACGCAAGGCACTTTACCTTGCGATAATAATAATAATAACTTAAATTTGACACCAACTCATAGAAAAGAAGGATAACAAATCGTAACTTACCAATAATTGCTTTGACACGAACAACTAATTTAGTACGAAGCACAACACTGTTTTCTCTGTTACAAACAAAAAGAAGAGAAAGTATGTTTTAAAAGTTATGAATGCACTAAATGGTAAACAGTAGCGTTAACAAATCAGACTTCTGTGTGAAACGGCGACTGATTTTCACAAAATTTTAAAGGGAACTCTTTTCTGCTAACTTCCTGTTTACTTTGTTAGTTTCAGCCACATGTGAAGCAGTGGACTATCTGATTGGGGTCCTTGAGATATTTAAAGCCGATGACTGCTAACTATCAGTAAGGTGGTTCAAAATAGTTCTCACTGCAGTTGATGTGCTGGCTCCTTGTGATTTTCCTTATATGCGCTATCCTCCGTGCAGTAATTTTTTCCGTTTATTATATTTTCATTCTATTTCTTTTTTCCACACCTCTGAGGGATTCTATGGAGTTTGGTCGCCTGAACTGCTGTTTTTGTGCAAAGTTCTACGTCGAAGATTTAGTTCAGTTTCCTGTGTATTGCAACGTGAACTAAAGGATTTCCCTTTTACAGTGGGGAGTTTTTAATATTTCAATGGTTTCTTTTGCAAAGGCGTGAGCTTATGTATTACTGTAGCTTAGTACGTATACGAAGATAAGAATATTTATTCTTATAAATTGAATTCATGCGTGATATAAAGTACATTGTAAGCTGAAGATGTCAATTTAGAAGCTATAGGGAATACCTTGACTGGTCTAAGGATAAATGAAAAGACTGTGTAATATCCTATTAGTTTACCTCTGAATAATTCAAAACAGCAGATGAAAATGTAGTCAACAGATGAGTAATGTCCCTTCTCAAAACACGATAGTGAAAGAAGATCAGTGAAAGCTTCCAAGGCTTCAAAGGTGGGAGAACATTAATCTATCAAAGGTATCGTTAAAGACGTTTAGTAATGATACAAAGAGTATCCAATACTTGATCTGTAACACCCCGAAAACAGAAGACAAACAAATCACACCTTCTAGCACCTCTCAGATAAAAAGCAGACTTGCTGAACTTATGATACACCTTGTTGTAGCCAATTCTAATTCGCCTTGACTATTTTTTTCCAGAAAATAAAGTCTATCAAAGAAGATCTAGGCGCAACCACCTAAGTACATTTTAGATGCATTCACCTACTTCACCTACCAACATGTTCGATGTAAAGAGTACGTAGTATGCAGTTCCACCTCATATGAATAAGAGAAGGCAGATACATGGCCTTTTATTTTTGGCAGCCATTTATTACAAATGTCAAGTAAGACAGCGAAAACTGTTACGCGAAGCACATATACTTTGACAGATAACCGCGTATAGTGAGCCCATCACAGATGGTATAAACTGGCAGCTGCTAAACCAGTTTCCTGTATCCCTGCCAAGCCTTCGTCAGAAAGCGTTTCTTTAGGGACTGACACGAATCTTTAAATAAATGAAGTAGATAACGGGCATATTTTGTGTTTGCATGAACTACCCTTATTTACATAATATCATTCCTTGGTGCGATGATTCTGATTAGTTGATGGTTTCTGTAATGAACAGTCAAGTGGTAGTGCTAACAGATAGTACTCAACCCTCAAGACTTCATGAATAGTGGCCATTACGATTAAGCTAATCTTACCAGCATAAACTAATGAGACTACAATTTGTGCCGTGTGCTGTGACTTCAAGACAAGGTGCAGCCGATGTAATACACTGCATTTCAGTCTATTAACGAGTTTTAAACCTATCTTTGATGTTCTTAGAAAATGACTGAGTATTGTAAAAACACAAAACAAACAGAGACAGAGAGTTACAAAGCATAGATGTGATACTCTTGATGGAGCCATTCCGTTTTTTGAAATAATAAGCCAAATCTCATGTACTCAGAGAAACTGGGAGTTAGTCAGGTATTCATCTCATCGTTTCACAAAACTGCTTCCCAGAAACAAATCGTCAACAACAAAACTTTTCGCCGCTGTATTTAGCAATATCTACGCCTGTGAACGTGTGTAACACCACGTTGAATAAATCAGCTAATGTGAATACTATTGTAGAGATGAAATAGTTTCCACGGGTTCTGAGTCGATGACAGGAAAGTCTATTGTCCATTTTGGCCTATTATACTGATAATCTTTAAGTTCAAAAAAAAGTGGAAATGAGAAGTATAGATAAGTGACCTTATATGTGCTAATTTTAAGATAAATAACCAGTCAGAGAAAATGGTAGTAATAAGAGACATACCTTGAATACCAAACCAAATTAGGTTGCTACAAATCCATTTAATAACTTAGTGACACTACTCGGCTTTTCTGTCTGATACGCTGAATTTTCAAAGGACAAGCGCGTGTTTGCACAATGGTACACTTCATCACTTGAATACATCCTAGAAGAGGCTTGAGAATTATATCCTTTCATTAACTGGAGCCCCGCTGGGAGCAGCCTGCTGGTCAGGTTAGGGTGGGCCAGTCCAAGGCGTCGACTATTTGTGACCGCACCTAAGGTCTAGCAAATAAGTAAACTTACAACAACGTCGTCTTTTTAAGGCTGAAAAACTAAGTGCAGCAGTCTGATCTGAAGAACAAGTTGATGAAGTGTGACTCGTGGTAACGTGTATGCTGATATGCTACTCAAATAAATTTGGATTACGGTGTCCTAGTTTAGACAAACCTTCAACTTTATAGCCAACCAGGCATACTGATAAAACTTATTCAAATGTGAAAGCATTTCGAAGAGAAGAAATGATAAGTAAATCAATAATTACTCATAAGAAGCACAAAAACATGCTACAGGCGCATTTCAGCATTGTAGCTGGTCTTTGGTGGAACGAATCCACTACTAATAGTTACCTACATTCGTCAAGAAAACATGATTCTCACGGTAAGCAGTAGACAGATTTCATTTATTTCTGATTAAGAAATGGTATGTGAGTCACAAGAGTAGGGAGGCAATGCTATATAATTGCGGTTGCTTTCATTTTGGATTTCATTACCGTGTAACAATGATAAAATCAGCAATATCGATGCCTTTGGCTTTGCAGCTAGGTCACAGGGGAGAGAAAGATAAAGCACTGCGTAAGTGAATATTTATATCCACTTCGACGTAAACTTGTACCTCAAATGTGTGCAGGATTCTTTCAATTGTTTTGACAAACATGCTTATCTCAAAAACCTTGCAAAGCTATCCTTGTTAAATATATTTCTACTGTAGTGTTATAACGTTGCTAAGTTCAGAACCAACTAATAACCAAAATGAAACACTAACTGGTATGCGAAGTCAATACCAATCCTCTTAAAAGTTAGTTCTGGTAAACATAGTTCTTCAGTAGGATATGAAAACTACTGATAACAGTTACTAAAAAGCACTGAAACATAACATGCAACAACATAAAAACAGCTAAACTGAGAAGCTAGTATAAACAACTGTGACTTACTGATCAGCTGATATTTCCAAGTCTTCCCACTGCTCTTGCAATGTCGAATCAAGGTCAAGATAAGATCCAAACTCTGACTGCGCTTGTCCAAATTTATAAAGTTGGAGGGCACTATCTTCAAGCTTGAATAAAAAAATATTTTAATGAGACTAAAATTTACGCGATGTGGTGGACGAAGTATTTTATGAATTGCTGGCAACTGACTACTCAATGGAAGCTCCATTAAAAATGTAAATGATATTGGTTTTACAGGTTCCAGTACTGACAAAGAGTTACAGGCGAATGGATCTCTATCATCCAAGAAATAAACCCGACACGTGAATGTAGCCATGCCAAGGTAATTTCTGGAACTTTGAATATGTGATAGCCTGCTATGCGTCTAGATACATCGCGCATGTAGCTCATTAAAACAAGTGTCAAGCAGAAAAAGTTGTGAAAGGTGACAATAAGCATAGGATACTTTTCTACTTCTAAATTCAGAACTTTGAATAATTCTGAACATTAAAGCTCAGATTTTTTCGACTCTTACTTATCAGTTATGTATATTGAGCGGAACGTGTGTAGTGTCTGGAAAATTGTCAGCTATGTGAGAGATTACCCATTCACATCTCATGATCAATACCACATTCACTATACACATCACAAAGATTCACCAAGTTCAATGCATATATTGGGTTGAGTAATTGTTGGGCAGTCATAATGCCAAACGCATTTTAGCTGTCAGAACAGTTTTCGTCTTCCACTGATTCGGGGCTTTACGTCAATCAGTGGTATTGTGTCTCCTCATCACCAGGGATTCAGACAAAAAATAGCATAATTGCACCGACTTGCCGTCTACCGTGCGGCGTAACAATCAACGCATAACATGTATGTAAATGAGTTAATATGTTGGGAGGAATTATCGGGCTACTAACTAAAGCTACCGACTTCGATAGAAATTCATTATAAGTGAAATGATCCCCAAGATGACCAGTAATGATTTCCGCTCTACAGATATGCACTGAAGCTAAGAGAAGTGTCGGTGAACACTAGGTTTTCCCTTTGAGAGCTTCAGGTATTATCATGATGGACAGTGCTGAACAGTTGGAAGTTCGCTTTTTTCAGCAGCTGATCAAAGTTCTGAGAGTTAAAACGACCCGTCAGCCTCCTTCTAATAGTCCATCTGAAATGGACGTACTTAAATGGCATCACAGAGATACCATCGTCCCTGCTCCTAGATATTTTCCCGACATTAGTCACAACACGTTGGAGTCAACTCATGGAAGTAAATTATACTTTTTCGTTGCATCCACGAGTTTATATTAAATTTGAATATCGCAGCATGAGGACAATTTTAGGTCTCTAATCTCCAGAAATACCACAGAAGCTGATATATACTCCCCAACTAGAACCAAGATGAAGACCACTACATTTTTTATGCCGAATTTTTCAAATTAAAGCTTAATTCAGGAATTTCATCACAACTAAAAGCTTCAGAGATTCGAAACTAAGAGACTATCAAGTAAAACCGACATCAACTACAGTCAACTGGTAAGGATAGTCAGTGAATCTAAGTACTCAGGAAGGCATTTCTAACATCTACAGGTGACAGCAAAGTCCATAGTGCAGATCAATCACTCGTGATGAAATCACACTTGCACTTTCCAACACTGCGGCTATTACTATCGCTAATCGCAAATGCATTTCACTATACCTAGGAGTGACTGGCTTCTATTTATTTGCTATTCAATCTGGTGGTGATAACTGGGGCCTGACAGTCACTCTGGCTACTTAGCTTGAGTTTCAATTTTTATAGCGCAAGCAGTCAAAACCCTGAGTTTCGGATCAAAAAGCAGCCTAAACTCGAGATTTTCAATCGGTTCAAAGGACAAGTACCATGAAGTAACACTAGGTGAACCCCAAAATAAACAAGAGGAAAGCAGTTTAGAGCTAAACAACTCCAATTTAGTGTAAAATAAAATTTTTAATCTTAAATCGGGTAGCAAAGTTGATCTTTTGTTCATTTTTGGAGGTTTATCATAACTTTAAGTGATTCAACGTGATATCAAACATCTATCTACCCTCAAAACACCTTAGCTGATCAAAATTTCCAAGTTTATGAACCTCAACAATCGTTCGGAAATCATCAAACTAAGTTTAGCAATTCTTACTACTCTCTCAAGTAATAGTTTTTAAACATGTCAAAATGGAGCCTGATGGCTACTTTGAGAAAGGTACACATTGGATGAGTTCCAACTCATCAGTACTCTCACACGCAGACTTCCGAGACCAGCTACTGGAGGAAGAAGCTTCAAGATACCAAACAGTGGCATTTAGTGTCCAAGCAGACGGAGCGACTTAAAGTCTACTTATGAATCGTTTGGAGGCAGGTTATCTAGAAAAACAAACATTTCCACGACTGGCGAAGCTTGAGGCATGTCAGATGTTGACCGGAGGCATTGAGAAATACCAATCGAGCAATATACTAAACAGAGGGAAAAGTAGGTTGCCACCTCAAATGCTAAGAGAGCAGACCAAGAGTTACATGCTACTTTAACAGCAAAGTAGTGTCGTAAGCGAATACGATAAAAGCGATAAAAATTGACTCTCAGTGATTCATATTAGTTTTGTCATCTAGAGAAGAATTCAGTTCTCGTCAAAGAGACAGTGTTCAGTGGAAAAATCTATACATAATAGCACAGGTCTTTTACAAATTGCCTGTAGATTTGGTAGAACCATTAAAAGTTTATGAAATAACATAGAAGGCTGTCTAGTCAGTGTGTTGAAGCCTCTTTCCCAATGCTATTGTTCTGGTGTGCGTTCACAAATCATGGAATGGGTAATCAGGGGAATAAAACCATAAAGAAAGGACACAGAATACATTGATCCAGTCTGGGTAATCCTTTGCTTTAGCAGCAGTTTTCAGGCAGAATTAGCCACCAGCGCGATGCTGATATGACTGTTGAAGTCATTCCATTGTGGTGTGATTTTATATGAATTCAAGCTGACGTTGCATCTGAATTTTGTACTTATGGGACAATATATTAAGTAAATTCGAAAACCTTTTCTTTTCCTTGTCTTGTATTTTTTAGTCTTATTCTTGTTCATGTGGGTAGATACTGTTGCACTCTTATTCGTATATAGCATAAGTCACAGTGATTGTTAATATGGTTGTCGAAAGAAGTCTTGGAAAAGGAACTAAAGCACCATACCGTGTAGTTACAAGGGCTTCAGCCAGAGAAGGCAAAAACCCAGGGACTTCCACCCCTTTCCCGCATACCGATCATAAAGACTCGTGTGAGTTTCGTCTGTTGTGATACTATGCCTGCATTGCCACAGTCTAGTACTGAAACGGCACAGGCAATACCAGGGGGGCAGGATACTACACCTGCATCAACTGAAGGCCAGTGTGTGAAACACAGCAAACCTAATAGGAAACGTTCAAGACGTCACAAGACCTCGAAGGCGTCATCAAGGAAGGGAGACGAATGTCAGGCGTGTAGTATCATAGTTTCTAAATCTGACTCAGCGTTTTAATGCAATTTTTGCAAACGATGTGGTAAAGAGGTACCGAAAGCATACTACGGGTTTATGAGGAATAACCCATGCCCGTGGTTTTGGTACATTTGTCCACTTTGTCGCCCTGGCATAGTCCCACAAAGCGTGTCTGCGGATAGTAGAACAACACGCCGCTCTTGTGTCTCAACACAGTCTCATGCAGCTCCCCACCTGCTAACAACACACTGCCAAAATTTGGCACAGACAGTGAGAAGGACACTCCAGTCCTACTGGCTGGAAATGCCAATTTTCACAAGGTAAAAATTCACGAGGTTGCACCCATAACATCAGGGGAAGACAGAATTACAAAAGCACCATTTCCATCCACTAGCAAGCTTGGCAGCACAACAAAGGCCAGCCAGAACCTGATGAAGCCTAAAGTTGCTAAAGCTGCAAGGGAATACAAGAAGCCAAATGCCAAACCTAAGTCTGAGGTTAGTCGGTCTAGTTCTCTTATCCTCTTTAACGTACTTGTGAGCAAAGATAGCTTGCTTGAACAACGGGCCCTGTTTGATCAGGAACAGTGGTCCAACCTGTGCAACAAATTAAGTCTGAACATTAGCTCAGCAAAATTGTCCAGGCTGTACAGTGGTGTCCACACGCCTCAGGGTAAGCCACTCCCATTAAGGGTTACACTGGACTCTGCTGAAGAGGCCGAAAGAGTACTGTAAGCGCAATATCGCTTGAAATTAAGTCACTCGTAGATAAAGGCTATCCCGGTCCAGAACAAACAAGAAGCCGGTCACTGTTTCTGCGGTACTTAACGGTTTCAAGAGTACAAAGCACAACGCTTAACAGAAAGCAAGGTACCGCTATCAGAGCGGAATAACGTTAAAGCCAAAATTGCGAACTAGCCGGAACCAGACACGACCGTTCAGGTAAGCAGTCAGTAAAAGAATGAACCCAAGTAGGGCATGGCATAAAGCAGAGAGCGTTTAAGAGAGATAGACCGAGCATAAGCACAAAGATAGAATTTAATTGGCTACTTAACCAGGTAGGAAAATACAGATGAAAATCAATAAATAAGATAAACTCGACAGAATAGTACAAAGTTAGACATGGGTCAGCAAAAAATAACAGTTCACAAAATACTCTGATTGGGCCATGAGTTCAACTGTCTGACTAAACAGATTGAGGTAAAAACACATACACACAGTTCATTAAACAAGCAGGGTAGACACGTTAGGCACGGATAATTGGGTTGCAACAAGGCTAGGCTGATCTGGGACAGGTTGACTTGATTCAAGGATGGGAATAGAATTGATCTTACAAGTACTATTAATGGCTCAAATACTAACCATGGACAGAAGATCGAACATAAGGGCGAGATAAGACAAACCATGGGCTATCAGACAAATGGCGAGGGAGTCACCGGAACTGATACCTTCTACCTCTATGGTGGTACACGGTGTTCCGAAGCTGGAGACGAGCGCTGCTTGTGAAAAGCACACACACGACGTACAGCAGTGGAGATGACTGTCATCTCATTTGGCCCTTGGCGCTTCTGGAGCAATCTCCATTTTCCGACTACCTCTTCCCGGTCATCTCACACTGATTAGCTCTCCAAAGCTGCCAAGTGTCACAT